AGATAGATTTTTTTTCTTATTTTTCCTCAAGTAGTTATGCGCAGGTCCACCCTCCAGCGCCCGCTTATCGTTGAATTTTGGGACACGCTGTATAAAGGAGTACAGTATATCTATTCTAGGATGTCCATAAGGGATTCAGTCTGTTCATCATTTTAAGTCTGCAGCCAGTCATATACAACTTTAATAGTATTAAAAGGCTACTAACAACTGCGTTAGTTAAAATTGTCTATTTTATTAGGAAACTAAAAGAACTGTTAGTAGAAAAAAGTTATTATACCTTGCAGCAATATTTTAACTACTCGTATACATACTTGGCCTAAGACTAATATAACAAAATAGAATTAATATAAATACAGGGTTATTTATAAAATACTAACAACTTCTCAGTACTATATTACTAACATCACGAACAACAACTCTTCTTCCATGACTTTTAATAATTCATAGCATCAGTTTTACGTTCTAGACAGACAACCGAAAGACATGTTGATTTCTTTTTTCTTTGCTGTTTGTTGTAATTTTGAATAAAACCAAAACTAAAGTAGTTATTATAGGTATGTATTTTTTTTAGTAATTTAAATTAACGAAAATAAATACCAGTCCCGATTCAAAATACTGGAACGGGGTACAGCGCTTGTACAACAAAAAAGTTTTTTTTTGGTAAATTTATTATGTTTTGACAAAAGTCATATAACAAAAGTTTTATTTTTTTTTTAATTTTATTATATTACATGCATAGAATATGCTTTCCAGAATTTGCAATTGTACAAATATGAACTGATGTAAACATAAGACATTCTAAAAGAGTAAAACCTCTCTCTTAAAATATAATTTGCAGTGCCCTACAGGGTCTACGATGCGCTGTTAACTTAGCTTTAAGCCTTTTCCATCCTATGTAATGGTTAATGCAATAAAGAATAATTGACAATAGCACATTTTTCCAGCAAGCCCTTTATAAAATTCCACCTTGTAGACGCACGTTTTGTCATCATATTCATATTTCTATTTCTTTCATATTCATATTTCTATCACCAAGCTTGATCCCTAAATGTGATTCGTTTTATAATAAATGTTTTTTATACATAATATCAAGTGACAGAACGAACAAGTTGTGCGCCTGATGGTAAGCTACACACCTGTCTATAACAGTTTCAGTGCCACTCCCAAAGATCTGAGGCGCACTGCCACTGCGCCCGTCACCCTGAGACATAAGTTGACAAATCCCATGTGCCTGTAATTTCACCAGCACCCTTACTCTTCAAAACCGGAATACAGTAATGCTGACATTACTGCTTGGCAGCAGAAATAGATAAGGTGGCAGTACTTCCCTGGACGAACTGGACGAACTCTTTCACAAGGAGCTCTACTGCTACTAGAAATGTTCTGAAAAAACCTATTCTTTTCACATATCCGCATGTCTAGCTTTGAAGGTGAAAATATTCGCATCCGCGTCCGTATCTGCAGATGTCGCCATAACCCACATCGCGGCAGCCCTAGTACACATATACAAGCCGCGCTGCTAGCCCTACTTGGTCTTATTCTACTATGGTATTAATTTATATTACTGTAGGAACTACATCAAACAAAAATAACCATAAAATAATTATTAATTGCCATCCTTAAGTTACTGAAAATTATTGCCTACTATAAACTATAAACTATTTCTTTTCCAGGTACCCGTCAAGAGTGTTCGTTGGCGACACATTCTGCTATGTATCAGGAATGACATTTGCTGTAGTGGGAATCCTTAGTCACTTCAGCAAAACTGTTTTATTATTCTTCATACCACAAGTTTTAAACTTTTTATATTCAGTGCCTCAACTCTTCCACATCATACCTTGTCCTAGACATAGACTGCCCAAATACTCTCCAGAAACAAACTTATTACAAGCCAGTAGAGCTGTAATAAGTAAAAAAGAAATGAGTTTTTTAAATAAATTAATTCTTCAAGTACTGGAGATGCTCCACCTAATAGATAAAACTGAAGATAATGATAGTGTAAAAATTAATAATATGACATTAATTAATTTATTTTTAATCAAACTTGGGCCTATGTCCGAAGTGCGTCTCACAATAAGTCTACTATTATTTCAAGTGGTTTGCACAGCTGTAGCTTTTCTTGTACGATATCCAATGGCATCTTATTTCTATGACGCGTAACTTTTGTGTCATTTTATGATGGTAGTGTGAAAGACCACGGATGACCAGTATAGAATATTGTATGCCATATGAAGTTTACACAGCAGCATACATTACACGTTATTATGTTTATTCAATTAATTACATAAAAGCTGTTTTGATCAAAAGTCATACGGGACAAGGAGCTCAACGCGACATACGTACTACTCTAATAAATATCACGTCAGTTGATAAGTCCTAACATTATTACGCAAAAGTAACAGTATTTGTTGCTTATTTAGTTGTATTGAAAACAAGCAGATCGTGGCAAACAAACAACCTCCAAGTATCATGTATAAGCTCGGCTGTGGTTCTCGAGATCGAAAAATGGCGCCGCTGGAATAAGCTTATTCCAGCGTGGGCAATAAAACAATGTTGGGCGACTGTAAATAGCGGACTTTAAATTGGCTTCGGGTGCTAACGAAGAGTGAGCAAGACATTTCTGTAAACGTATTCACAATTTATTTCACAAACGTAAAAGCAGAACTGAGGAAAAACAATGTGCACGAGCAACAATGTGGTGTGGTGTGGTGAGGTGGGGGCCGTCCCACTAAACGCATTCTAGTTTGTGGTCTCCCTTCGAAAACCTTTCTGCCCCAACGGCTACGAACTATGTGCCCTGCCCACTGCCACTTCAACTTGCTAAAACTTTAAGCTATGTCGGTGACTTTCGTTCTTTCTACGCATCTCCTCATTTCTGATCCGATCACGTAGGGACATTCCGAGCATTGCTCACTCCATAGCCCGTTGATTGACTTTGAGCTTTTTTATGAGGCCCGTAGTTACTGACTTCTCAGAGCCGTAGGTCGTCGCTGGCAACACGCACTGTTCGAAGACGGAGAAGGAAAAATGGGTAAACCTCATAGCAAACCTGTATTTATTGTTCTATGAGTAAACAACTCTAAATAAAACAACAAAATAAATCACTGAAAAAGGCTAACATAAAATTTTGAATTCGAATGTGAAAAACTAAATTAATAAAAAGTACATAAAATGATTTGTAGTGCCCGCTGCCCGCAGGTCACTTATAAATAAATATAATGTCATTGAATTAGTCATATAAAACAGCGACTATATTTGGATTTTTGTGACTAGATTCTAACGAGACTAGAAACAACGACTTTTTAGTTGGCTAGCCAAAATTTCAATTATTTATGGCACTATAATAAGGCACGCAATTCATTGTATGGTCAATGATGAGAGTCAATTTATGTCGCATAAGGTCAATCTGCAGTTTACCAATCGCCTTACGGAGTCACCACACTTATCGACATGGAATCGCATTAAGCCGTACCAGGCCAGGAAAAGCTTTATGCCCATGTAATAAGTGCTGAAAAGTCGTTATGCGTTTCACGTCGGCGGCGCGGTCCGAGCGGCAGGGAAACCACAGGGGCAAATGTGGTGACTCCTTTAGGGCTGAATTTACATTGCAGCACAACGGAATGGAAGCGAATTTTTTTAACCATACACAATTGCTGACATGCTGGTGATTTTAAAAAGTTTCGCAAAAAAAACAGGTCGCGAGTCTTCCGAAGATTTGTCGCGCTCTCGCGTAGTTCACACAATTATTGACTTAAGCCATACTTAAGCATAATTTTATTTTTATATGTACAATTTAGTTACAATAATCTCAGTATAGAGTACTGCAAAAACCGACCTCAAAAGTTCGTGGAATTACATCTGTTTGCCAAGTTTTATTGAAATCGGTTACCGAAAAGCGTGCGACACAGGATTCATCCCCTAGTTTGCCACCCTTTGAGGAATATTTTTCTTCGAATTTAAATGGGACCACTACTGAAGTATCCTCTTTCCAACAAAACAGAATCATCAAAATCGGTTCACAAATTACGAAGTTTTCGCGTAACATACATACAAAAAAAACAGTCGAATTGAGAACCTCTTCCAAAAAAAATTGACACCACGATATCTATATTCCAATGTTCTGTTTGATGTATAAGGCGGCGCCATTTGGAGATTATATTCGTGCATTTACAGCACTTCTCTTCTTTGTTATTTCTTTACTGTATTCAATATAAATTATTTTTTTAACGTAAGCACAAGTGAGTAAGTTAATTTTCCAAAGTTACCCTAGCATGTTCTTTGTTATAACTCAGTGTACCATGTGCCTAAGCCTGTCTGCGGTCTTTGGAAACTTTCCTGTATTGTTCACATGTCTGCGTTAATTTGTCAATGTGTAAAGTGCTATATACTCGTAGAAAAGCTACCATTACTTTTTTGTTTTGCAAAAACTGCAGGCCGGTTGTTAGATAAACCTAAGATTAATCTTAAGTTAAAGCCGTCATATTTTTTTGTCTATAATAAACAAAGAAATTTTGTCAATTGGGTACTTTAATTCTTCCGCCCCACTAGGACTTAGGGAAACTATGTTCTAGAGGATTGGCTTGCTCAGCTAGTTAGAGAATAACCCACGTCGTCTAAACAGGGATATTATTGATCGGAGTAGTTACCGGTCGAAACTTTAAAGTTTAATAACTTGTAACTGTTGGCCTGTTTAAAATGGAACTTTTATCTCATATTCTCGCAGAATGCTCACCAAACTATGCATTGTTTTAATTTAAAACCAAATTGTGTAATTCATTGGTGAACGCTGAGAAAAATAGATAGATAGATAACACGTTTATTCAGCACAAATACAAACAGAAACAAAATATTTACAATAACTTCACACATTATAACATAAAAGCACATAGAACATTCATTATTAATTTTATACACATTTATATAAAACACATACTGCAAGAAAAACAAATACTGTGAGAAAATCCAACAAATACTATAAGAACTGATAAAATTTTAATGTACCTATGACTACATTTTGTGCTGAAATGACTCACTCAGCATAAATACTGTAGACCGAGAGAAGTCAAACAGTGCTGGTTTTCTCCCAGTACCATATGGTGAGCGATCGCAGCCCAGTAAACCATGCCACCAAATATATATACCTTTTATATCAAGCAAATGTGTAAGATGTAAAGCAAATAATGTAAACAGTGTAAATAATGAAGGTAAGCAATATAAATAATAATATAAGTTTACAAACATAATATTAAATTATAACAATAGCCACCAAATATGAATATATACAGGGTGTCCCGGAATGCGACGTCAAGCCGGTACGCGGTGATAGGCCATGTCATAACCGTTATCAGAAAAATCCAAAAAAAAATCTATGTCATGTATTTTAAAAATTATCATCATTTGGAAAAGAAATCGAAAAATATACACCCTGTGACGCATTTTCACTTCCCGTTTCTACAAATTTCCACTTTATTTTCATTTTTTTTTATTTTGTAACCCTGAGTAATGCTCCTGTAGCTAGTAGTCTAAAATTTTGACCCAACTGCTCTAATTTTGAAAGAAAATGACACATTATTCCCATATCAAAAGAGAAATTGAATTTTTCGTTCAATTTCAACTGACCCTACCAAAAAAAAATATACTACACTGGTTGGACAAGTAGCTTTAAAAGTTGGCACATTTTAAGAGGATTCCAAAATGGTATGACACTTGCTACGTTATTTCTTAGATTATGGTCAAATTTTTATTTTTGTGAACGAAACCGGTTTTCAACTATTTTTTATTTCTTAATTTAAAATGATTTAGTGTACCCAATCCTTCCCTCGGAACGGTAACTAACATAATTCTAGTATGAGTGAGACGGAGAGAGCCATTTTACGAAGTGTGAGCGAGACAGAGAGACGCCGCTAATGTGTGAGACGGATAGATATTATTCGACTAGTGCGAGCGGACACAATAATTACTATCATAATTACGATCCATCTTGACTGCGTTCACAATAACGACAGTACGTTTACGCTACTTCGTTTACTGCGCACCTTTCCGTATTCGTTCGTCTTGATTTCGCACTAACAACCTTTTGCTTCGTTTATTGGACCGGATTGCTTGTGATTTGGATTTGGACCGTTTAGTTTCTCTTATTACGACCTTTGCTTTCCTCTGGACCATTGTGATTGTGTTGTGACACCATGTCCGTGTACACCGTACAGGAGTTTGCCAACATGCATCTCATTTATGGGGAATGCAGATGTAATGCTCGTGCTACAGCTAGACTTTATCGTGGGAGGTACCCAAATGCTGCTCGTCATCCCGATCATCGAGTTTTTACGAATGTGCACCGTTTGCTCTCAGAGGGACGATTCCCAAGCCAAGTTCATAGTGAAAGAAGAAGTTCCCATCATTACGAGGACGTCGTAATGGAAGCAGTCGAAGAAAACCCGAGTATTTCGGTACGTGGAATCGAAGCAACTGCAGGAGTGCCAAAAAGTGTAGCACACCGAATTTTAAAATATAATGAACTCCACCCGTACCATGTACAGCGAGTACAGTCTTTACTAGAGCGCGATTATTCACCAAGAGTTGCATTTTGCCAAACAATGTTAGAGAGACACCGAGAAGATCAGCAATTCCTACAGAAAATTTTATGGTCTGATGAATCAACATTTAAAAAAGATGGTTACATGAATTTACATAACCTACACGAGTGGCATGTAGAAAATCCACATTTGATGAGACAAGACAGATCACAATACCGCTTTAAAGTGAACATGTGGACAAGGATTTGAAAAGGTATAGTATTTCCAACCATTTATTTTCGCGATGACAGTTCTCGTAGAACGTAATTGTTTACGTAATGCAAAAACTTATCTTTTAAATGCGTGGTATAAAAAATACGACAACTAACTAATCTTATTCAATGATTCCACTTAAAACTTATTGAATACAATTTTACCCCTTAATTGCAATGGTTTTTTTTTTAAAACGAAAAAAATACGAGTGTTTTTAACACATTTACATTCTATAGAAGCATAATAGGGGTGGGAATGAATTTGAATCAGAAACAAAATCATAAATAATCGTTTGAGATATAGGTATTAATGAAAACAATACGAACCGCTTATTATTCTTTACTGTCAATAATCAGAACTTGTTTCATCATCATCATCGCTTGACGAGCGCTCACTAACATTTATAATAAACTCCTGATCTTCTAAATTGTCGAAAGCAAGATGTCGTTCCCAATCAGTAATTATAATATTTTTTGTCTTTTGAACAACGTCTGCCCAATTTTCTGTGGAAACTTGAGCACAGGCATTTTTTAATAAGTCCATCATTTTGTTCGCCGTGAAAGGTGGACTTGTAATGTGTCGAGCGGTGTAGCCTTTAACTTGTGCCCATATTAGTTCGATGGCGTTGTATTGGCAATGATAAGGCGGAATTCTAATTACTCTATGGCCATATTTGGATGCCATTTCATCGATCACGTACCGCTTGGAAAAGCGCTTTTTTGTCTTTAGTATATTCAGTAACTGTAATTTCAGCATAGAGTTATCAACATTTTCTCCGTGTCGATTTAGCCAATCAATAATGTTGCTTGCTTTTTGTTGATCTGCGACGGCATTTTGTCAACTTGGCGAGAGTGGTAAGATGCGTTGTCCATTAATATAATGGATGGTTCTTCAAGCAATTGTAGCATGTCTTCAAACCATTGTTCATAAACCTCCGCGTTCATTTCCTTGTGGTACTCCAACGTCTTTTGTGACTTAAAAGCTAACAACGCATCAGACACAAATCTCTTCGAAGACCCTGCGTAACAAATGATGAGGCGTTCTCCCTTTTCCCATCGGTACAGAACAAGTAGAAGCAGCGGTGTCATCAGTCCACTTTTTAGTTACTGTGTGGTTTGCATTCAACCATGTCTCATCAGTGAAAATCACATTTGACCAATCTTCTATTCTTTTGGCGTTACTTAAAAAGTTGCAGCGAGCCATAGCAACGTCGTGACGTTCCATCAATATTTTTCGTTTGTCGGCTTTTATAAGAGAAGCCACTGTCTTTTAACACTTTAGCCAACGACGACTTTTGTCCACGGAATAATTCACTATCTCGCAATGACGTGACAAGCTTTTTTAGGGTCGGAATTTCTTTCCGTAAATAATAGTCGTATACATGTCGACGAATAGCGTCAACGTCAAAGTTGTCCTTCGATGTCACACGTCGAGGCTGACGTTTTTTCTTAGGCGTACGAAGTTTATTCTCCTGCGTACCGCTGGTGCCGTAGCTTCGGTAGTGATTTTTGAAACAGTTGGAGCACTAATACCTAACGCCGCTGCAACACGCTCTCGCACTTGCGACAGGGGTAAAAGCGGGCCTCCATTTTGATATTCTGCTTCAAAATAGTTACGGATCCTGATCACCATTTCTCTCGTCTGTCCTTTCAGCACTGATCCTTTCGGCATTTTAAGTCAACTCGACAAATTGACGATTGGGTTGACCAGTTTATGGTCAGTGCATAGAGATATGTGGCTAGTTTTATCGACCTTAAAGGTCTCGGTAGGGGCTGATGTGGCGATCTCCTTACTCGCAAACTTACATAAATGTAAACTCTTTGTTTTGATTGTTAAAGTTTAGTTTAGTTTTCGAATGACAGGACAAAAATGTATAATTCAGTTTCTTTTGTGTTAATTTGTAAAAAATACTATTGTAAATATTATATTATTACGTGGAGCTAACTTTTCTATTTTATTCTTGCCATGGCTGCTCCCCATAGATGCATTAATGATAATCATAAAAACAATGATGTCGTTTATATCTATTATTACGCGAGAAAAGCCGCGGATAACAGCTACTAATATAATAAATTTAATAATTATTATAAATCAT